CCCCCCCCCCCTCTCCTCATACCCCTCCGCTCCTTTTGCCCCCCTTTCGACCCCCGTCACCCCTTTTTTCCCACACTCTCGCTATCCTCTTTTACCCACCGGGACTCGCACACACAACCCTGACTCTTACCCCCCCCTCCATCACCCACCTCCGCCCCCTCCCCTTCCTCAGGTTGTGCCCTGTCCCCGGCTACATATTCGCTACATCACCCTCTCCCCGTATTTCTGATCGCCTCCCTGTCACCTATCTCCCCCTGCACTCTCGCTGTCCTCTCCGCCCCAGGTCCTACTCTGATCCCGGCTACATCCTTACCGCCACCTTCTTCCCCTTCCTTCCACAGCAACAGAAGAAATAACACACGTTTTTTCCCTCTCCTACTAACGATCGTGGGCTCAGCGTCGCCTGTAGGCTGGCCACTCGATCACGAATCGGGTTGAAAAGGTGAATAGCTGGGGATTTGGGTTTTTTTCTGCACTCGCAGTAGGTCTGCTCGATTCAACAGGGGGTAGGGGGGTATGTGTGACTGAGTATTTTTTTTGACACATACACGTAATACACACACAACTGAATTGCATTCTTGGATCGATTGAATTCTGGAGTGTGGGTCGGTCGGTTGATTGAATGATTGATCGATTAATTGATAAGCCCGATCGACCGAAGCCACACATAGGCACACCGGTGTGGCAACGACCGTACGAACTCTCAAGGAAACTGCTGGTTGACCTTGTGTTTCCGACCCCCACCGCTTTGGTGTTCACGAGGTGGGGAAATAGGTGTAGGGGGTTTCACGGTGGGAATCCAGGGGGGTACACGGTCACACCTTCTCTGTGGATTGACCTCCTCACAAAACTCTGATCTGTTGCCAAATCCCTGACAGCATGACGATCCAAAAGGGGGAAAGAAAGACCAAACGACAAAAAGTTTTCTACCAAGGAGCGATGCGACATGTCGCCGGGGGGAATGGACCTCTGTCGGATACAACCATGACTGATTCCAACAGGGATCAGCAACAGGAAATACACACACAGCTAGAGGAACAAATCTCACCTGGCCAACTGTTAAAGGATCTGCAGCAGACTACAGAACGAATTGAGTCTGGAGGGGGAAAGGCCTCCTCCTCCTCCGCCACATCATTGGTGGACAGAGTGAAATGGGTGTACAGAGTGAAACGGGTGTACATTGGGGAATCCCTGAAAATCCAGCGGGAAGGAGGAGAGTTGAGTAATCAAACATGGCAGATCCCGCTGGAACACGTGTCTACAGCAAGCGCTTACTTTCTATCTAAACTGCTCACCAAACCGGAAGAACGCTTGATCCACCAAGGGGGGAAGAAGATTCAGGTGAAAATGTTGCCCGCAGAAAAAATCCAGATGCGGGATGAGCTATATATGCGTCACACGAGTATCTGGGTGTTCTATGATGACGCCGCATACAAGTCTTCGAACGATAAGATAGGCTGGATCCGAAAGAGACTCGCAGTCCTTAAGGGAAGTGGGGAAGGGGCCAGAGACTATTTTCTGATCCAGCCTGTCTCCTCTTCGGTTTTTACAGTACTCTGCATGTTCGAGACAGACAAAAAACAGATGGATGCTTGGCGTAGCGTACGATGTGGCAGATCTGAGGTACGGATCTACCCATGGTCGCCACAGGGGCAGCAAAGTAGGGAGGAGAGGCGTAACCACCTCATGACGGATTTCTGTTGGGTACAGTACAGACATATCCCGGTCGAGATCCAGGCTGCTTTTGATCAAGAGCTGGCACAAAAATATGATATTGTAGATTCTATTGATCCCCTCCCTGCTTTTGTGGCTCCTTGCGACGACTACCTGATGCTGGCGCTAAACTTACCGGATGACAACATCTTCCACATTGATGATGTGATCCCTTTCCGTATTGGGGGGAAGGATTTCAAAATCCACACGGCCCACAAGCGGCGGCCGTGGTGTTTCAAATGCCAACAGTACGGGCACGCCGTTGCAGAGGTGGGCTGTGCATTTCACCCGGCAAGGCGTGCGAAGGCAACGGGACGTTTGCTTCGGGACCCCTTCTGCGCCTCCCATTGGCGGACAGTTGACCCTGGCCATGAGGGTTGGGTCTATATCGATGAAACCAACTCAGAGGGGAGGGCTAGAGGATGGGAATGGGAGAAGAAGGAGGACTGCGACTTCAACAGCAAACCCCCGGACCATTGGGTTCCCCCTTACTCGGTGGAAGTGCACTTGGTTGCAAAGATCGACCATCGATCTGGTGAGGAAAAGGTTCCGGAACCGAAGCCGGAATCCTTCCTAAAGGAAACAGAGAAGGAAGAATGTTGGAAGGTGATCCCCCCCAAAAAATCAGCAATCAAGCACAACACACCTCAGGAGCTGTCTCTTATACACATCTAGATGTGTATAAGAGACAGCCATTGGGTTCCCCCTTACTCGGTGGAAGTGCACTTGGTTGCAAAGATCGACCATCGATCTGGTGAGGAAAAGGTTCCGGAACCGAAGCCGGAATCCTTCCTAAAGGAAACAGAGAAGGAAGAATGTTGGAAGGTGATCCCCCCCAAAAAATCAGCAATCAAGCACAACACACCTCAGGAGCTGTCTCTTATACACATCTAGATGTGTATAAGAGACAGCCATTGGGTTCCCCCTTACTCGGTGGAAGTGCACTTGGTTGCAAAGATCGACCATCGATCTGGTGAGGAAAAGGTTCCGGAACCGAAGCCGGAATCCTTCCTAAAGGAAACAGAGAAGGAAGAATGTTGGAAGGTGATCCCCCCCAAAAAATCAGCAATCAAGCACAACACACCTCAGGAGCTGTCTCTTATACACATCTAGATGTGTATAAGAGACAGCCATTGGGTTCCCCCTTACTCGGTGGAAGTGCACTTGGTTGCAAAGATCGACCATCGATCTGGTGAGGAAAAGGTTCCGGAACCGAAGCCGGAATCCTTCCTAAAGGAAACAGAGAAGGAAGAATGTTGGAAGGTGATCCCCCCCAAAAAATCAGCAATCAAGCACAACACACCTCAGGAGTACCGAAAAAAAGCAACAACAACAAATGGTAGGGAGAACCTGGTTAGGGACACGAACCGCTACAAAGTTCTGGATGCCGATCCACCGGAACAGCCTTCTCAACAACAGGGGGCTACAACAGGGGGGGGAGGGGCCCTGCACAACAATGAACAAACTGTACACTCCAAAGAAGGCACAAAGGAACAAATAGTGCATGAAAAGGGTACAGTCGGGGCCCTTATGGAGGAGGAAAAGCAGCAGGAAGTTATAGCACAAAAGCCAGGGGGCGAAAAGCAAAGAAGATTAGCAAAAGGGCAGGGGGGACTAGGGCCTAATGCACAAGAAAGTGAGGGAGGAGAGGGAGGGCAGGACACATAGGAGAGGGCGACAGGGGGAGGAGAGGGAGGGCATGACACACAGGAGAGGGCGGCGGGTGGGCCAGAGCACATGAACACAAGCGGAGGGGCGGAGAGTGCTGGTTTGGACGAACCTCGGCCTCACAGGCAACAGGCTTTCAACCCCCCCCAGACGGAGGACCTATTTCAGCAAGCTTTTGGCCCACAACCGATGGAAATTGAAGAGCCTCAAACTCAAACAGAGGCAACATCCTCACCTCTGCCGGACGAAATTATAACAGATCCCACGCCGAAGACGAAGGGGGAGGCGGAGGACAAAATGAAGGTCCTCACTGAGTGGCTCCACGAGCAGCTGAGAGGCCATTACACACACTGCCCTCACTTGACTGATGACTTCTGGGATCAGACATACTTAGAGCTGTTCGAAATGTTAAACTGCAGCCCGAGCCTACAATAGACTTTGGAGCATGGCCTGCCCCAGTCAGCCAGCTGGCAGGACACATAGCATTGGGTATGACACATTGTTCACCAGCAATTCAAATGCCCCCCCCCCCCCCCCCCGGAAATGAACAACCTCCTCCCCCTCCACCCCCCCTCCCCCCGGACCCGCCACCCCAAAAATCGGAGGGGGATAACACGGAATCCCCCCGGCGGTCAAGACTGAGGCACCTGATTGAGAGAGGACTGTTCCAGGGGCTGCTTCCGGTAGGAGAAAGTCCCGGCAATCCCGATGAGAAAAAAACAGGGTCGGTGGGAGATAGGCCTCTCGCCAGCGGAGGAATCTGATTACTCCTATTGCAGGGGAGGCCTTACGTTGCACGGATGGAGGTTAGAACAGGACGGGGAAGGGCAGCGCGGCTTCATGATCAAACACGCCAAGGAGTTTATTGCGTCCCACTATGAAGCAGGAGCAAAAACTTTAATACGAGTAGGTTCAGGCTCCTGCAGAATTGCGGACAATGATCTCTACATCCTCTTTGAAGGAAAAAAGGATGCAGAACTCACATGGTTATCACATAACGCCCTCCTGGAACAGCACCAACTCAAAATCAAGCCAAGCCACGTCTGGCCAGATTCGGATATCACCACCGCCCTTTGCTCCATAATTCGAAAGAACATTATTAATGATGGGGTGGCATGGGGCAACCATGTTTGGCATTATCTGTAGGTCCCAATAGTTGGAAGGTATTACACTGCTGCCTAAGGAAATGGAATGGGTAGAAGCCTTATACGGCCAAAATAAAGCTTGGCGCAGTACCCTCCGCAACGCGGACCTTGACCTCAGATCCATTAACGTGAACGGCTTGGCGAGCATCTGCCCGAACAAATCTCTAGCCATCAGGGACCTCCTTAGAGGGGTGGAGGGTCGAAATTGGCCAGATGTAGTGTGTGTTCAGGAAACACACCTGTTAGACTCTCCTAATCATAATAGGGCCCATAAGGCGGTTTGGCCATATCAGGCCTATAGGGCACATGCGTCGAGGCCGGCGAGTGCGGGGACTGCAATTTGGATCCCGCCGGATTCTCGATTGGAGGTGCTTTATAGCGATGCAGATGTGGATGAGGGACGATGGGTGTCTATCCTTGGGGCGCTGAAATTGGAAATAATATGCATCTTTTGCATTTATGCGCCCAGCACAGGGGCGGAACGCGAGGAATTTTTTCAACAAATCCAAGGTAAGATGCCACAGGGCATCCTCATCATCCTCGCTGACGACTTCAACGCTGCTCTTGATAGGTGGTTGGAGCGCTGGCACGTCCCCACATCTACCCTGCGACAGGTTGTTGAGGATGAGGACATGCTCCATGGACTTTGTGACTCCCTGTCCCTCCTCGAAAGCTATCGCTGGCTCTTTCCAACCAACTGCACTTATACGTGCATCCAGAATAATGACCCTACAAGGCTCTCAAAATCTAGGATTGATATGATCCTCATCTCAGAGGACCTCGCAGGCAGCCTATCCCTTGCCGCTATCCTCCCGTCAAGCCCCTTCCCGGGGTTGGACCACAAGATGTACATGTTAGCGCTCACCTTTTGCAATAGACCGGACCAAGGTCCAGACTTCTATAAGCTAAACACTTCCTTGTTGCGTCTGAAATCATTCCGTCAGTATCTGTCCCAGGCATGGGCATATTGGAGGGAACGATATCCTGAAATAGGCTTTCTAGTGACATGGTTTAATAACGGCCTCTTTTTTATGGCAAAAAGATGCAACGAATTCTCTAAACTACAAGCCAAGCAACGACATACGCACAAAATCGATCTGTTAAATCAACTTCAAGAGTTGGAGCAGCAACCAACACCACAAGAAGCAGCCTCATATGTGCAAAGCATACAAGCTCTCAAAACCCAACTCCTCCAACAAGCAGAATACCGATAGCAAGGGGCTCGAATTCGTGAGAAACTCTCGACTCTTTCCACAGAGGGACAGATGGACACTAATTTTTTTGCCATGGCCCGGGCTAGAGCTAAGCGTGCGACGATAGAGACTCTGTATGGCCCAGGGGGCCCTAACACACACCCAGTTACCACAACGACAGGATGTTTAAAGATTGGTCGTAATTTCTTTAAGGATCTCTTTAACTCCCACATTCCCCCCTCCGATGAGAAATATAGGCGGAAACAAATTGCAAATTTTCTTCAACCAATGGACAGGTCCCTTTCTTTGCAGCAGAGGGAGCAACTTGTAGCCCTTGTGACCAAGGAGGAAGTCTGGACAACCCTTCTCAAGATGGAAGAGGAGAAAACCCCTGGTCTGGATGGCCTTCCAAAACAATTTTGGGAAGGAATGTAGGACTGCATATGCTCGGATCTCATGAACTTTTACAGGGAGGTGGAGCGTACAGAGGACATGGGGGAGTTGGTTGGCCAAGGGGTGTTATCGCTGCTATATAAAAAAGAGGACATGTTCAACATTCGGAATTATAGACCAATTACCCTCCTAATTGTGGTGTATAAGATGCTGGCAAAGGCTCTGACAAATAGGCTGATCCTAGTCATGGAGAGGGTGATCCATCCTTCACAGACTGGATGTATGCAGCATAGGCAAATCCAAGAAAACATCCTACTGATAAATGAAGTGTTGCAACTATCCCGTCACTCGAAACAAAATGTAGCCTTGGTTTTTATCGATTTTGAAAAGGCTTACGATCATGTAGATTGACTCTTCCTTGATAAGTGTTTGGAGAAAATGAATTTTGGGCCGATCTTCCGTAGATGGATCCGCATCCTCCATCAAAATGCTACCACAAGGGTGCAGATCAACGGGACCTTGGCACCTCCAATTAACTTAGAACGCTCGGTGCGGCAAGGAGATCCGATTGCACCCTTCCTCTTCCTTATTATCATGGAAGCTTTATCAGCCAACCTGCGAGCTAACAAGGACATTAAAAGGCTTTGGGTTGCACGAATCCCGGAGGACGCAGTCCCGATCTGCTCGCTGTTTGCAGATGACCTGTCCATTATAGCTGAAGCCACGCACGGAAATATGGAGGAAATTCGTCAACTTATGGACAGATTCGCTCAGGTTGCGGACATGATAGTGAATTGGGGAAGCAAAACCCAAGGGTGGTGGATTCACTACCAGGGGGGTCGGCCACCGGAATCTCCGAATATTCATTGGCTTCCCCATCAGGCTCCCATTAGGGTTTTGGGGGTACAGATGACAGCCCAGGGCTGCCCTCCCTCGAATTATGACTAGATCTTAGCACCGACTTTGGCAAAACTGGCCAACTGGAGGGATAAACACATCTCCATTTTTGGCAGGGCATTGATCATTAACAACGTAGTATTTGCCACTCTCTGGTACAAGTCGATACTATGGCCACTAAGCAAACCCGCCCTTAAGGCGCTACAGTCTAAGGTGGCAGCCTTCTTATGGAAAGGGAACGATGAACGAACCAATGTTATCAGTAGGGTAGCATGGGAATCGGTTATCCAACCTAAAACAATGGGAGGCCTGGACTTCATTGATCCTATAACTCAGGTCCAGGCCCTCCGCCTGAAATGACTAATAACCATCATCTTTGCCATTGACAGTCCGTGCCAGGCCCTGGCCCTAGACCACATCGCTCGCTTGGCCCCGTTAGCCCCACCAGAGGTCAACCCGTTGACGTGGATCGAGGATCGCTACTGGTCGATTCTGCGAAGAGTCCAAGGCCAAAAAGTCGACCAGTTCCGGCCGTCTTTGCTGAAATGCTGGCGTAGGCTTCCTCTCCCTGAGAAGCAAGCACCGGTACGCTGGGAGAAAATATACCGTCAACCCTTCACAATGTTTGGTAACCGATGGATCACCCCCAGCAATGGTCGGGTTCTAATCAGCACGGAAGCCTCATGGAAGGGGTGGGTGAAAAACGGGGTCCTCAGGGTGGGCCACCTATGGGACCGAGCAAGGAGGAACTGGAAAACGGTGTCCCAGCGTCGTGGACGCCCCGCGATGCGTGAACAGGGGAAGCGCCAGCTGTGATTGATTGGAGGATAACTACACAAAAGTTGTGTGGTTCTGTGAGCGAGCCATGACTACCAGGGAGGAAAATTTGGAGAGGGAGCTACATATTGGAGCAAACGAATGGCTGATTACCTTGGAGAACGGGCGCAGATGGCTACAGGAGATTGTGAGAGAGATGTCTTTGCGGCTGCAAATGGAGCCAGAGGTCGAAGGGGGAGCGATCGCTCTGGCTGGTTGGATGAAGGACAAAAGTGAGGACATGCTGGCGATCATCTGGGAGCTGGAGGAGGGGGCGGATCCTTGGCTTGACGTCCGCATCGATGGAGAAGGGCAGATGGCATCATGTAAGTCTGCAAAACCCTCTTCAATGAGGGTCACGATCTGTATGATCTTCTGGAAGACCGGTTGGCGGGCATTATTGATCGTGAGGCGCGGACGAGGTAACAGCGGTAGCATCAAGATTAACAACAACAGTAATGGATGGGTGTGACAACAACAACAACAGCAAGAACACTAACAACAACAATAGCGGCGAAAACATCATCAACAAGAAAAACAACAACAACAATAACAACAACGATAATATAAACAGCAACGACGACGACAATGACAGTGACAACTATGGAAGCAGAGGGGCTGACAGCTGTGTCCGGGCAGTTGCTATCATCAGCGACATGATGGGGGAGATGCTGCAAGCGGATGAAGGGGAGATGGGGGTTGGAACGGAAAAGGGGTTTGTCATCTCCCCCCCCCTCAACGATAGGGACGACGACGACAACAAAGTCAACAACAACAACAACAACAACAACAACAACAACAACAACAACAACGACGACAATAACAACAACAACAGCAACAATAACAACGAAGACGACGACGATGGCGGCCGCGACCAAGGGAGCAGTGGGGTAGGAAACGACATCCGGACGGCTGAGATTATCATCACCGCGATGGGAGGGATGCTGCAAGTGGACGTGGGGGCTGATGGTCTTGTTGGGTGGTGGTGGGATGTACAGGGATTAATTAGCAGGAGGTCAATCCTTCCCTGCGCAGGGAAGTAATCAATGCCCCCTGACAGTCTCATATGATAATGCCTATTGGATACTGGACTGGATGCCCAGATCATACATCTCTCATCATTGATAGAGCTTTGCTTTTAGGCTTGATTCATAAAAGATCATATTCATCATATAGTGCTTAGGGTTTCGTGATTACACTTCGATAGATATAGAATATGGACATATCTAGATAGTTTCTGCCTGTTGGACATAGTTACACACGCGATATAGGAACGCTGAACCCGTTTTCCAGCAGATACAAATCACATCACTGTAATACACATCACATCATGGTTAGGGTTTCGTTCGATTGGATTGATGCCTCAGTTTGGTTTGGAGACTCTATAGACTAGATGGACAGGGACGTTGGACCCGTTTTCCGGGACATATATTCACACCATTGCACACGGACGCTGGACCTGATTTCCAGCAGATRCATTTTCATCATTGTACAGGGACGCTGGACCCGATTTCCAGCAGGTGTAGCTCCCCACCAATAGATGGAGCCTTCAACGCCGGGGCCTACTTACCGGGGATGCTCTTATCGCCTCGTTAAGTAGGTTTCCCGTATACGAAGTTTAAAAAAAAAAAAAAAAAAAAAAAAAAAACGGATCTGAGTTTTTAAAAAAAAAAAAAAAAAAAAAAAAAAAACGGATCTGGACTTTTATAAGAAAAAAGGAAAAAAAAAAAAAAAGAATAGCGTGTAGTGTGTGTGACCACGTTGGCTTGACTCATCCTGAATCAATCCACTAGGGGGCCTTCGTCCCTTGTGAAACTTTAAAGAAACAATCGGGGATACTGGGGCCATTACCCAGCTTCGGCTGAGAACAACATGAGTATTGGTGAAAATTGCAGAACTTTTCCTGGAAACCTTCTGAAAAAATTAGGAAATTCTACAGAAGAATTAATGACTAGCCTGCTATCCGAATTTCCCATAAGGCAAGGTTCGTCTGCTTCCACTTCCATTGGGGCTGGGTACTGCCCAGCCTTGGTGCTTGTCAATGCCTTCTTTTTTTTTTTTTTTCATGTTGAAGGCTCCATCTATTGTGGGGAGCTGCACCTGCTGGATTCGAACATCCCTGTTCAATGTACAACTGTGGCGGTGTGTCCATATGCTTGGACCACCAATGCCAAGGCCCTTCTTTGAGCACAGCGATGTATGACTATGTTGTGAGTATGCATGATGGGTCCAAGTGGCCTCAATACTGGTAGGGTGATGATCCTGAGTGCTGGACACACTGAGGTACGATAGTAGGGATAGGGGGTGCGCTAGGAGTATTGACATGAGGATGGGTTAGGAGGTGGCCTTACCCTGTCAGGACAACGATTGGCTGCCCGCTATTAGCAATCACCGGGCGTCTGGTCCTTGGCCTCTACAACACCATGGGCCTTTTTAGAAAAAATAAAAGAATAGTGTGTAATAAGGGTCTTGCGCACCACAGACGAGTGGATAGCATTGCAACCTGAAACGTAGGTTGGAAAACTGGCATTTGACACCCCAGTTGGCAGTGGACTCCAGCAGATCCAGGCCTGGACATGGGCTCCAGGGTACGATGGATGCTACCGTCTTCACCCGAATAGAACGCCCCCGATCTTTAAAGCTGTACTTGGGGCAACTTGCAGTCCAGATACAGCGATAACTACCGGGCGTTCTATTCGGGTGAAGACCGTAGGCAAAGAGAGTCCTACAGATCTTCTGGCACGAGGATCAGATCTATCTTGGACATCGATCGCCAGTTAGTCCCGGTGTGGTTTCTCTAGTATGAGAAGTATCTTGTGTCCAGGTTCATTTTCCATCTACTGGTGTGGGGTGTCGCCTGCTGGAAAATGGGTCCAGAGAATGATTCTGGAATATAGGGGCAGGGATAAGCATAGATCATTGACCATGCTTTTGTCATCTTCTATTTATGAGGGGCAGGGGGAGGGGATTTCCCAACGGTCTAACCACCGGTCTGGGGCTGCGTTGAAGTCCCCTGCAATCAACATCCGCATCCGTACCTTTGCTGGGGTCTGCCTCTTTTTTTTTTTTTTTGTACACGTTCAGCGTAGGGCAGTTGGCATTTCAGCTCAAGAGTGCAGGTACCAGCCCACCTCACCTTCAGGGTTATACTCTAGGAAAACCTCGTTCATTCGCCTGTGGCGTTGGGGGCATAGACACAGCTCCATACTCACCAGAACTGAGACCCACCTGCCTTCTTCTGGGTCTGCCGCCCAGTTGAGTCGTTCTACCCTTTTTTTTTTTTTTTAATGCTCCAATCTATTGGTGGGAGCCACACCTGATGGAAAATGGGTCCTTTTGCAAAACTAAAACAAAACGAAAGCTGATGTTCATAGAGGAGGGGACCTGAGGGGAGGCACAGGGATTGGTCCTGTTGGCATGGTCCCTGATGCTACCGGCTGTCCCCTAGCCGGTATCGCCCACCTGCAGGTCGGGAGCAGCCCCCGCATGTTCTCTCGTGAACACGGTTCTGGCAACTACGGGGTTCCCCGTATGCCTACAATTAGGAGTAGTGGTAGGTAGGTAGTGTGAGGTGAAATTGAGAGAAGAATATAGCTTTAAACAAAACAAAAAAAAAACAAAAAAAAGAAAGAGAGAGAAAAAAAGAAAAAAAAGAAAAAAAAGAGAGAAAATTTGCTTTCCGTCCCAATTTGAATATGTTTTCCACAAAGTCAGCTGCCTCCTGGGCCTGTGGCCAGAACCCTGTGAGAATGGCCCTCCATGACCATGGCCATTGTGGGTCAGGGACCATCTTTCTCCCTATTCTATCCCACCAGCGCCACGTCAGTTTTGCCATTGGGAATTGCATGAACACATGCTCGATGGTTTCAGTGGTTCTACCCTGGATCCTGACGGCAGCCAAATTGCCACACCAGCATTGTTGGGCCTTGGAGCGGTGCTCTGGAGGCCTGGTATGGCCATATCATCGTGTGTGTCCGGTTATGTCCTGGTGTGTCCATTAGCTGGGTGTCCTGGACGAAGAAAATGTTTGGTCATTGTCAGCCCCCCACACCCTTCAACAGCTCCCATATGGCATGTTTTTTGTAACCCGCTGAGGCCAAGCCATTGACGCTTACAGAGCGCAGATTTAGGTCTGCCACTTGCTGGCATTGGTTCCAGATTTTGTTCTTTTTTTTTGTCTTTTAAAAACACCCCCCCCCCCGTGCTGTGCTAGTGCTGCTGATAAGAGCAGGCATCACTAGCACCCGGGGAGAGGCTCCATCTATTGGTGGGAAGCGTCACCTGCTGGAAAACGGGTCCACCGTCCCGTACACAGACTGAATCAGGAGAGTATCATAAAATACAACTGGTCAGGAACTATGACTGAGAAGGACGCCTGCCAGCATTGATTACTCTGTCTCCAGAGGATTGACTGTGCAGGTTGTTGGGAAAAAGGAGGTAAACCTCTTCGCCCTGTACCAGGTGCCAGATTCCTACTGCTGAGAGACTAGTTCCTCCCTCTCCTACCTCCTCCTCCCGCACTATCAATCCCTCTGTTTCTCATTTATACATGACAGGCTAAGATTACTTAGGATACTCAGACTGTCAGCATTAACTACCCGAGGCAGAGGGAAAAAAGCGGGGTGTACGTCAGCGGAGTCCTCCCCAGGGGGTTCCAGGGAGGAGTTCCATATGTGGGCATAATTGTACATACAGATGTATGTGGATGTAAGGGAGACCGGGTGGAGAATTTAGCGTTTGGGACAGAATATCTGCTAGAGAAAGGGCATGAGGTGGGAAGGGGTCTGGGACATTGGAGGGAGGGCATAGCGGGAATGAGGGTTCTATGTTTGTCCAGTTTTTGAACACTTAGTCTAGACGGTAGTCTCTCATTTCTTCCAAATTTCGCAGTCCCTCTCCCCTGTCTCCACTCCATTCTACTTTTGCAATCCATCCTTCTCTTTCCCCTCCTACCCAGTCCGTACAAAATGCTGTAATCCGACTCCTGACATCTCCGATTTGTCTAGAAAGGTCTAATTGTGATTTTGTGTCCGACCATTTTTTGTGTAAGTTCAAAATGCACCTGCTGCTGGATCCGTTCTGTAATCTCTAACCCTTCCACTCTTACCTTTTCCATGGCCAGGGTGCACCTCTGCCACTTTAGTGCCCATATCACCGCCCTCCTTCCCAATCTGAACATATTCTCTACGAAGGTCGTGGCTGTTCCTGCAAACGGCCAGTGTGCAGCCAATATGGCTTGCCATGACCAGGGCGAGGGGATGTCGGATTCCATTTTCTGCCATATGCGGTCCCACCATCTCCATATGAATTGGGCAATCGGGCACTGCATGAAAATATGTTCAACGGTCTCCACCTTCTTATGAAAAGGAAAACGAATGGCACCGCTAACACCATGGAAGCAGGAGACCTCTTTGTTCGAGGTTAGTATGGTCAGTCAACCAGTCGTTGGTTGACAAACAACGGTGGGCAATCTACCACTGTAGGGAGGTGATTTTCATGGGCTTAGATTTTTGTTCCGTGAACCATTGGATCGGTGACACGAGGGAGCGGTCCACATTTAGGTGTCTGACCCATCTATCGTTTATCGTGTCTCTCATATACCGTTTAGGTCTAAGCATTTTGTAGGGTGATTTGACCGACAGCTGGTGAAGACTAATATGGCCTACTTTGGGGGTGCCCCTCTTTTGGGGGGGCTTCCATGTCCATTCTACCTGGTCGAGAGCCAGATCCTGGATTGGTTTGAATGGTTGGAACACCACTCTCTATCCCTTCTCCTCTATAAATCTCACTCGGTGCATTGTTGCTTTCTCTTTCCATTCGAAGGGTGCTCTACTCCCTTGGAGAGTGCCCACATTCATGATCGTGTAGTGTTTGATCAGAACTGTTTGGGGTGAGATCATATGTATCTGGCCAATCCTCAGCGGGCTCTCTATGCTTGCCACCCAATCGCTTATTCTCAAGAATTCGGTACCACTTCAGTGGGATGACTTCTATAAGGTTATCCAAAAGTTCCTCTACATGATGGCAGTACCTTAGGGTTTCCCGCAAGTGGTCTTTTGTT